CAGGCTTCTCAGGATAGCCAGGATCTGGGATGGAAAAAAGCAGGGAGAAAGGGGCTCATTAGAGGGAGGGGTGGGGTTAAGATTAGGGGCAGACACCAACCCCAGATTCCACAGCAGGGGTCTCAAGTTCACAATCAGTTGATGTCCCCTTGCAAGTATCTCTGGAAATATATATTCTATGCACAGAAGATCAGGAACTGAGATCCAAGGAGCATTCTCAAGAGAAGAGAACTTTGGAAATTGGGGGCACTTGAAAAAGGGAAGGTCCTCTCCCCAATCCAGATGTCAAACCTCTGTGGGAGGGGGTTAGGTTCTGGATTCCATGCACTGTTTGTGGAAGAACTGGGGGAGGGAGATGTGCCTTGAGCTCAGGGTGTGGCTTCCTGGCAGGAGTTGTATGAGCTCAGGGGAAGTCTCTGGGGTTCTGGTACCTGCACAGAAGGGAACAGCAGGGATGGGATGTTGCTGATGGGGTTGCTGGCCCTGCAGGTGTAGGAGAGGGCATTGTCCCCAGGCCTCCAGTATGTGCTGAGGACAACGCCTTCAATAGGCAGTATCAGCACTGTCCCCCCAGGAGAGCCAGCTGTAGGTCACATCCATGCCTTCTTTCTCTACAGAGCACATCAGGGACATATTACAGGCACCTTCCCCAAAAATCTCAAAGTTCACAGTGATTCTGGGCTCCATACACAGTGATTCTGGGCTCCGACAGCCACCCTAGAGGAGGGGAAACACAAAGACCCTTTAAACAATCAGGAATCTGGCCTGTTTTCCTAAGTTTCAACCCCGAGATACTGGTGCCCTCTGAGAACCTAAATAGAAATTAACAAAAACCAGACACCATAAAATCTGTGGTTCCAGGACAATTGCTAATGTAGACAGAGATGCCTCTGGCATCTTCTACCTCCTCTTTATACCTTCTCTCTCTTATCTCTGTACCCCACATCCTCCAAACCCTATTCTGCCTTGTTGATCCCATAAAATGTTATCGCCACTCCCAGGGGCATTTGTATTTTAATCAGTGTCTTTTCAAGATTTACAGTAGATTCAATGTGACAGGCACTAAGAAGAAGTATGGGCTCAAGTATAGAGAAGATATTGATTAGTAGTCCTCAAACCACACGTGGGGTCAAAAACTCAGCAATGGAGGTGGCGTTCATCCCCAGGATGGGCAATCTCCCTCGGAGAGAAAGGCTGCCTAGAGGGTCCAGACAAGGCCCCTGGTCCCTCTCACTGCGTTGGGCACATCTGTTGGAGTAGCCTCAGTGCCCAGTTCCTTCTGGCTCCAGGTCACTCCACCTCTTTCTATAGCTCAGAGACTGGGGTTGGGCACACTGGAGACTGTCTGCCTTCTAGTATCAGCCCCTCACACCATAACCCAAGTCCTGAGACCCCTTACTCCATGACCTGGGAAGCTCAGGAAAGCCAATGAAAAAAGTGGCTTTAGGGTTCCCAGCCTAAACTCATGGTAGATACATAGATTGTAGTGCTTCATGGTAGAGATTTGGGACAGCCTCAGGTTGACTTGAGCTTGCTAAAGCACTGAGTCCTCCCGAAAAAAGTGGCTTTAGGGTTCCCAGCCTAAACTCATGGTAGATACATAGATTGTAGTGCTGCATGGTAGAGATTTGGGACAGCCTCAGGTTGACTTGAGCTTGCTAAAGCACTGAGTCCTCCCAGCACAGATTGCGGATGTGCAGGGAATAGCTGGGGTCCAAGAAGCTCACTTGGCCCTGGTATTGAGGGTCACTCACCGTGATGGTCGCTGGATGTCCCTCTTTCCCTGGCACCACAGTTGCAAGCCTTTTGTGGGAGGACCAGATGATGTTCTCAATCTCTTCATCAGATAGTATCTTCAGGGGGAGGCTGATAGACTACTGAAAGACCGCAACTACTTCCTCAGGATCCATACCATTTCCAGAGTCCCCTCTGGTTACAGACACAGGAAGAAAAGAGGTAAAAAGAAATCCAGTGGTGTCTCTGGACTGTTAAGCCAGGCAGTGGGGCCATGGCTCAGTTGAGATTGAGCCGTGGCCCCACTGCCTGGCTACTCCCCCTTCCATCTCCCCAGATGTCCTCATCTTTCAGTCTTGCCCTGAAGCCACACCCTATTCTTAGTTACTTCAGAAGAGCTGACATGACACATTCAGCCCCAAAGGAAGGGTCTCACTAGCCCAAGGCCTAGCAGAACAGGAGAACAGAGGAGGAAGGAGACACTCCTGTGCAAGAGCTTACAGTCTCACTCACCTTCCTGGATCAGTAAGAGGAGGAGCAGCCAAGGAAGGGCCCCCATGTCAGCAGCCCGTGCCCCAGGAGAGGTGATGTGGTCAGCCCCCAAGGCTGTGAAAGAGACAGCTGTTAGGAGGTCCCTTGAGGCAGTGACTGATTGGTGGTCCTGGGGAGAGGGAAATAGTTGCCACCCTAACTAGCAGCCCTATAACTTCCTCCATCCTCATTAAGCCCCTCCCTGTCCATTATGGAAGAAGTTCTTCTCCTTTAGAGCCTGATTGTCAAGATAGTTTACCCACTGACTCACATACCCGTCCACCACACTCAACTCAAATCTCACTTTTTAAGTTCAGCCTTCCAAGACTTCCTACCCTCCCAGACCCCATACATACCACTTGCCCTGAACTCTTAGAACACTCCCTATCCTGTCATTTGGCTCTCAGCATACTCTGCTGTAGCTATGTCTTGGTAGTTCCTATGTCACTGTGGTCATTTATTTGATCTTATAAACATCTTTACCTCTCCAGACAGATTTCACCTTTTATTTCCTCTATGTGTCCACTATTGCTGGCCCCCATGCTAGATAC